GGCTTGACTTTTCTTAGGAGGAACAGTGAGAAATAAAGTCGGCCAGTAAAGGGGTTTGTGGTAAGCAGAATAATTATCCCTCCAAAGATGCGCATGTCCTAGTCCTCAGGACCTCTGAATGTACCACCAAACATAGCAAAAGGCGCTTTGAAGGTAGATTAAATCAAGCATCTTGAGAAGAGAAGGTTATTCTGGATTATGCAGCCAGGCCCAATATAATTGCAAGAGGGAGGCAGAAGCGTCAAAGTTAGAGACAGGGGATGTCATGATGGAAGAAGTTGGAGTGATGTTACTGCTGGCTTTGAAGATGGAAGAAGGCCATGAGCCAAGGAATGTGGGCCGCCTCTAGAAGCTGGAAAAGACAAGGAAAGTGATTCTCTCCCAGAGCACTCCAGAAGGAACACAGCCTTGCCAACACATTTAAGATAATAAATGTGTGTTGTTTTAAGCCAGTAAGTTTGTGGTGATTTGTTACAGCAGTAATAGGAAACTAACATAGGGTTTAAGATTATTGGTCTTGAGAGTAACGGCCATGATTTGGTAGACAATATAGACTCATTTCAATGTATCTGAGCAAAAGAATAAAGAAGAAAATAGTGCTTTAGGAAAACTGATCTTTGGCAGAGGATGAATAAGACAAGGATCAGAAACAGTTAAAGCATTACTTACACAAAGTAGTAAGACTCTGGACTGGGATGGTAGGAAGAGAAAATGAAAAATTGAATGGTGCATATTATAGAAATTTGGAAGAATGAATCAACAGGACGTGGTGACACTGGATATGGAAGGTAAGAGAAAGGAGACCTCCAAGGTGTCGAACCCTGTGGCTTCAGTGCGTGTGACGGGGGGAGGGTGGACAAGGTTGTGCTGTGAGATACACCTTTAAAAAATATAACCACACAATAGGAATTCTCAAACTTCTACAGGCATTAAGATCATCTGGGATGCTGGTATACCATGCAGATTACTGGGCTCCATCACAAACATTCCGACTCAATATATTTGAGATATAGTCTATATGTCTGAGAAGTGTAGGTCCGTGCTTGGGATCCGGATCCGTGAACCCAGGCTGCTGAAGCAGAGCGTGCCGAACTTAAGCATTAAGGCACAGGGCCAGCCCCCTAAAATGTTTATAAATTAAAATAAATATCATAGCCAAAATAAAAAGGTCCTTGGTGAAAAATACTTTTAGCAAATGGCTAATATTTTATTAATAGGCCACACTAACTAATGAGCAAGAGCAACTGAGACCCCAGCAGATAAATGGGAAAGCACACAAATAGAACTCCAAAAAGAGGGACCACAATCATAAACAAACTTAAGAAAGACCAATTAAAACAGCAACAAAGCAACAAATATTGCTTGCTAAATAAACAAATATCATTTTGGAGGTAATATTCAAAGCTGATGAGACGCTATAACTTCTTACTTGCTGGTTGCAATATAATCTGCTATAACCACTTTGAAAAAAAAGTAATTCGGCAATACTTATCAGGAGCTGTAAAAATCTCCATTCTCTTTGACAGAGAATGCTTCCCTTTGTAATCTATCTTAAAGAAACAGTCTTAAATATGGGAAAAAAATTATATGTAATGAAGGCTATCAATTATCGGAAGGTTACCATGTGATGCACACGATTTCATTTCATCCGTAAAACAATTCTATGAAGTTAGTTATTATTCCCACACTAAAAATGGGGAACCTGAGGCACAGAAAGACCAAGTAACTTGCTCCAAGGCCTGAAAGGCTGGGAAGAGGTGCAGGCAGGCTCAGGAACATTCTGCTTCCAGAGCTTGCACGCTTAACCTCCACACCACAGTTACCAGCACGTGGGAACATGGTTAGCACAGCAGCATTTGCTTTATTAAAAAATGCAAGAAAAGAAAAGAAGGAAAACAGCCATTGTATTAGGATAGTAGAAATATGTGTGGGTAATAACGGGTTATTTCCCCTGCCCCCAAACTTTCTGCAAGATTTAGGTCTATAATCTAAAAGCTACTTGAGGCAAGGAAAATAATGCATATAGAAAGAAAAAAAAAACTCCTAAACTTTTCCAAATAATAGACAGAAATCCTAAGAAAAGTATAAACAATTAGGATATTGGTTTCATACTTTAGTATCAATAATTATAAAAGTTTAGGAGAAGTAATAATCATTAAGAACTTTATTCAGACAACCAGATGAACTGTCAAATGGGTAATGGTTTTAGTTTCTGCCTCAGAATTAGCCTGATAATAAGCCAGGAGGCAGTTTGGTGTGTTTGTGGTACCTGGAGAAGAGCAATGCATCTGTTATTCTCAAAGTGAAAAGTACTCGTTAATAGCTCATGTATTATTTTAGAAGTAACCTGGAGACATTGGCTAAACACTTTCAGCAAGTGAGAAATACAATGCAAAGTCAAGAAAAATCAGGTCACAGGCAACAGAGCAAATTCTATCCCCCACAGAGATAGTTGAATATTTCAAGAAAATTAAATGAGAATAGATTTAACTGAAGTTAAAGGGAAAATATTTTATGTAAAAACGTAACATTCAAAGCACATCAAAAAATTCAAATATGGAGGGGCCGGCCCGGTGGCATAGCGGTTAAGTTCATACATTCTGCTTCGGCGGCCTGGGGTTGGCCGGTTAGGATCCCAGGTGCACAGCTATGCTGTGGTAGGCGTCCCAAATATAAAGTAGAGGAAGGTGGGCATGGATGTTAGCTCAGGGCTAATCTTCCTCAAAAGAAAAAAAAAATTCAAATATGGAAATTCAGAAACCAAATTCTAATAAAAGGATAAAGTTGTACAATCTGGCAGCAGGAATCAGTAAAGCTTATGTGTTCTGATTAATGTTTTTTTGCCCATTGCAATCCTTCTTAACATATAATTTTACAGTTAAGATTACAGGTTTATGTTTATTTAACACTCCACTATTATTTGTACTTAATTGTCTTTTAGAGTTAACTTTTTGCCAAATCTACTACAATTTCTATGGGGCAAGTAAAGCAGACTTCTAGCAGCTCCTTTCTGCTCTATAATACACAAGATTAGATATGTCTCCCAACTAAAACTCTGCCCTTCAAAGCGATTTTTTTCTCTATGTCCCTGTAAAGCTGTTTTAATAAGGCTGCTAAAAACATGCAAAATTGAGAGATGGAGAATTTCCACTCTCTTTAGTAGGCCTGATGATATAAGAATAGCAAAAATTATTAAACAGAACTGCAGAAAGTGAGAGAAAAGTCCTACAAAATCTGGGCATTTTTTCTGGCCGTGAATATCTAAGAACTGTGTCTAATCTCTGGGAGGGTCCTCTTCTGCAGAAGAAAATAAATCGTCTTGGACAAGAGAACCGGGGAATGATCATGCACTCCTGAGAAGCATGGGCAGCTTCTTGCTGGGCGGGCCTAATTGGCAGTCACCCAGCTGTGCCTGCGTGGACTTGGTCCCCTAGTATCTGGCAGGGACAGCTGGGCTGTGTCGGGGTCACGGAGAGCTGGGTGCTGAGCTGGGAGATGAGGAAGGAGGTTTGCATGTGACAGCCTGCCTGGTCGACTCTGGTCATCAGAGGCTGGGCAGGGGTGGAGTGCTGGTTTTAATCTCACCGTAAGGACTTATTTCATGAGTTACCCAGCAAAAATCTCTCTAGAATGGGTTTTCTTGAGAAACAAGAAGCACAAATAGAATTGCTTGAGAAGGAAGTGAACCCAGACTCCAGGTGTGATTCTCTTTGAGGTCCCAGAGTTGATGCTTCTGTGATGTCGCCTGGCAACACCTGGCCTAAAGCTGTGCTCACCTGTGTTGTTCCTTTGGGACGTTAACTTGGATGTAATAAAATTTTAATTGGAGGATTAAATGCAGATTATCCCTTGCCATCCTAACAGAAAAGTGTACAGATAACTTAGAGCTCCTCTTTAAAAGAAAACAGAGGGCAAGTCTCACTAATTTCTCAATAATATCCTGTTAAAGCTTTTACTCAATACTCTATTCTCCTGACAAAAAAAAAGTGGGAAAATTTAATTTTTAAAAATGCTAAAGAACTTTTAATACAGAGCAAGCACATTATCACATCATTTATATACTGACATTTCCCAGAAAATCTGAGATCTCTAATGAAATTAAAAGAATAGACGCTTTCTTAACATTCTTATTTAGTATCTTCCCATCTAACTTCTTAATTAACAAAGTAACAAAAGTGAAGAACATTGAATTATGGCATGCATTCTGTATGTGTGCGTGTGTGTACACATATGAATATGTATATATGAAAGAAAAAATGATAAAATTGCACTAACTCATACATGATGATTTTTCTGGGCAATCTCATAAGGTATTTCAAGTTATTAAGGTAATTTCAGCACCCCAATAATAATTTATAACCTGCAAAACATTACATTTTGGTACAAAATAAAAAAGTATTCACTCCTCTATTCTCTACCAACCATTTAGCCAAAAACTCAGCTATTCCTTTTGCATTCGTTTCTTTTATCTAAGACTTTAAATAAAATGGATCTGAGGACTGAGACACCAGTCTTGTAGAGTGGCCTTTACATTCAAATGAAGGCCATGAGCCTCTTTTACATGTTCCCCAAACAGTGCTTGAATACATGTGACATATGTGTTATCTTTTCCAGGTACAAGTATAAGTTGATTTTAATAAACTTCTTCCTATAAAATGATCCTTTGCTTTTCATTTCCCCTTTTTGAAAAGCACATTAAGTATATTTTATGGATAAAATAGGGTCTGGGTCTTATTCTTTCCGAACCTATAATACCCAGCACAGTACACTGCAAACAGCTTACTGTCTCACATCTACTTATACAAAAGATCATAAGGAAAAACCCACCTACTCAGGACTGCCACGTTTAAAGGACTGAATAATTTATTTTAAAAGGAAATTTACTTCATGGTAAGAGAAATCATACCATTCCAAGAACTATTAATGCTGTTAGGAACCAGAGAAAGTAGTCTTAATGTTATACCATCTGCCATACAGATAAAAGGAAAAAAAAAAGTTACCTTTTTGTGCAAGGCATGAAATTCGCTGTACCTTTTTTCAACAAAATGTTTTCTTCCGTTCATTAGCACTTCTATCTTAAACACCTGAGGAAAAAATTAAAAAGATTAATTTCACCCGTTCAAAATCCTCAATTGTCTGATGTGGTAAGTTTGTGACCATGATATATTTCATCCCTTTAATTACAGTAGCTGATCCCCCAAAACCCAGAAGGCTCAGGAGACCCTGGCCCAACAGCTCTGATTAATGAGCACTAGAGCCAAATGCTCACTAACAAACTGCATTATCCCTGCAACGTGTCTAAAAACAGTGGAAACTTAGAGGCGTTAAAATGCTCCAGAACTTTTTAATCAGAAAATGGTCCTCCCTTAAGATTATTTCACCAAACGCATATGATGATACTGAAATAAAAGCCTGATGCGACAGTGACAATCTTGTAAAAATCGCAGGCCCGCAGCGTTCCATTATAGGTATTTCAATGACGGCAGTGCTGTGTCATCTATAAGACAATCATGCAAACAGTAGTGCATTTTAGGTTAATTTCCTCCTAACCTGCATATTCATCTCCCGTCTCAGCTGGGCTTATTTTGCTGTTTGCAAAACAGGGCAAATGTGGTCGAGGTTCATTTTCCCTGCATGATCCGAGTGACAGCTTGTGCTCCCACCTCCAGAAGGTTGAAAGGCCAGATGAAAAGGCTCTCTGGGTGTGCTAATTAGTAGGCACTAACATGACATTTTCTTGATTCTTAGGTCAGTGGGTCAAAACTGGGAACAAGGGATGAGAAATATTGTGAAATGCTCATGAAAACACAATGTTAAGGTGGGGTGGAGGAAGGACGCTTGGCAGGAGATGAAGAGAATGCGCTTTGTTATTTTCAAGAGTTTGTCTTTGACTCCTGTTTTGCTGAGCGAGTTTGTCAACACCAAGAGGAAAGAATATTGTTTAATTACTTAGTGAGCCTAATTTCCTCTTTCAATTGCCCTTCTGAAAAAAAAAAAACAAAATTAAACTCAAGTCAAGGTCACGACACTAATGGGTGTTAGAACATGCTTACTTTAACTCTAAAAAGAACTACTTAGAATTGGCATATGAGACATGTTCTTTATGAAAAGAGATCCCTGCGGCTCTACATTTCAGCCTTATACGTAAATATGACCCTTTTGGGAAGCCACAAATTATGTCGTCAAACATAAAATGCATTTGTATTTTCTGGCCTCTCTAAATCAGAAACAAAAATCTTCTGTTGCATGACAGTTTAAGAAACCTGCTTTTATTAAAAAAGTGGTAAATTTTTACCAATTTAATCAATATTTTATACTAACATTTGGTTTTTCAAGAAATCCCCCTAAAAAGTACTTTTTTTGGTGAATTAGTGAAAATATGTTCTTCTAAAAACATATGCATGTGTTTCAAACTTCCACATATAAGTACATTATCCTTTTAGAAAAAAATTCTGTTTACTAAGTCACTAAAGAAAATTCTTCTTCTTCAAAGACTGCCAGGAAAAGAATGAGGAAAACACTCCGAGAAACAGAAACAAAAGAAGTACAGCTTCAACTGGGGGTTTCGTTAATGGGATACAGAGGCCCTTTTTATTTTAGTGTTAGGTCCCAGATTTAAATCAGGACAATGTGGGAGCAACGAAAAGTAGTTTCCATCGGCTGAGCTGCATGAAATAAAGGAACTTATTTTCTGAGTCCAGTTACTTGAGGCTTCATCACAAAAACCACCACTAATTTAACTGACATGTTTGCTACAGAATCCATAGAGGAAGGAGAAAGTTGAGGACTGGGTAAGGCTCAACCTACTAGGTCACCTCTAAAGGTGCCATGTCTTGAAGGCCAAGGATAAGACACTACACAGCAGCTGCCTCATGGAATGTCATCCCTTCTATCGACCAGATGGTTCCATTACCAAGTTCCATAGTTATTTTTCACAATCACTAAATTCAGGGCGCGGGGGTGGGGGGTACACACACACACACAAACACACAGGAAAGTGTGACAGATTTTAATTCTAATATTTTTACCATATTGCCATTTAAAAGATGCATAATATACTTAATATTAAAACTTTTTTGTCTTAAATTCTGGCAAAAGGTCTTGGAAGGGAAGTTGATTTATCAGAATTTCCATGACAATGTGAAGCAAGAAATGGGGTCAATTTAATGAATCCTATTTTCCTGAATTCCATACCATACATTTTTTTTTAAAGAGGTTCTGATACGTGTTGTCCCTGCCGCCTGGAAAACCCTGTTCCTGTTGTGCCCTCCTAGCAAACTCCCAGTAGCTGTCACCTGCCTCTAAGGTGGGGGCAGCACAGGATGATGCAGAGAAAGCACACGGCACAGTTTCTGGAATCCAGTCATTTATTTATTTAACAGGTATTTACTGAGGGACGACAATGTGCCCAGGAGTTGTTCTAGGCTCTGGGGATTCAACAGTGAACAGACAAGAGCCCAGCCTTCACAAAGTGTACATCCTATCTAGAGAGGTAGGCCAACTATACACATATGAACAAATATGGGGAGATCAAGAAATAAGAGGCGCTGTGAAGAACGATGCAGCAGGGTAAGGAGACAGAGCCGGACAAAGGTGCTGTTTTAGACAGTGTGGTCCGAGAAGGCCTCCCTGAGCAGAGAGGTGGGGAGACATACAAAATCCCTGACAAGAGCTGAATGTGGCTGCCTCTGGAATTTTGGACTGGGAGTGGGTGGATAAGAACTATTTGTTTTTATTCCTGTTTTTGTAAAAAAACTTTTAAGTTAAAGCCTAGGGCAGGGTGATTTCCACTTCTGCCAAGATGGAATAACAGGGAGCAGATTCCCCTCCCACTTGAAACAACTAAAAACCTAGAAAAAAGTATGCGGAAAAAACGGCTCTCAAGACATTGAACATGAGGAAATGAAGGACTGTGAGAGATGGGAAGCAAACAAGGTGAGCCCTGTGACTATCTCAGGCAGAGCCCTGGGGTCCCCTGAATTAGGGAGAGGGAGGTGGGAGTCCAGGGAAGCCAAGGTGGTTTCAGTTCTCAGGGCAGGGTATCAAAGACGAGTGAGCTACACATAGAAAGAACTCCTGCAACCCGCCAGAGCTCCCCTTCCAGCATCCAGCTGAACCCCCATGAGCATATGCAACTGGGGAAACTACCTGAGGACAGAAAAAGATTAGAGAGAACAGTGCTCAGAGCTCACGGACAACTAGGCATAGTGCCTGTTCCCAAAAGCCAAGGTAGAAAACCTTATTATTCATGAGGCATTAGTTAGAGTACTCAGGAGGGTCTTGCCTCAGTAGTGGGACAAAACTAGCTGAAGGCTAAAAGCTCTTTTAGTTTAGTGTAACAAAGCTTAAAAGCAAGACCTGAAGAGAGCAAACTTTTTCCAAGTAACTTAAATACATGTCAAAACAATGCTCAAGAATATTTTTAGGAACATAAAAATATCCAGCACCCAACAAGTCAAAATTTGTAGTCTGCCATTCAATCAAAAAGAAACAGGAAAATTCAACCAATAATGAGAAGAAAAACAAATCAATAGACATTGATTCAGAAATGACACAGACAATAAAATCAGTAGACAAAGCATTAAAATCATTATTATAAGGGACTTTCTTATGTTCAAGAATCCAGAAGAAGTGCTGACTATGTTAAGTGGAGGCATGGAAGATATGAAAAAGAAGATGACAACAGGTCTGGGTCCTGTTGATGAAATCAACAATGTCTATGATTAAAAAAAAAAAGTGGGATTAATAGCTGATTAGACATTGCAGAAGAAAAGATAAATGAACTTAAAGAACTTTGGACTGCAATAGAAACTGTCCAAAATTAAAGAGAGAAAGGGAAAAAAATAAAAAACAAACAGAGCATCGGTGAACTATGGGACAACTTTAAACAGCAAAACCTATGTATAATTGGAGTTCCTATAAAAATAAATGTATAATTATGCATAAAGGGAGTCTTCTTCCCATAGTGGAGAGATGGGGGGCAGGGGTTGGGGAGAAAGACAAATGTATTTGAATGATCAAAATTTTTCCCAATTTGATGGAAGCTATAAACCCACAGATCCAAGAACAATGGACCCAAGCACAAGAAACATGGGGGAAAAAACAACAACCATAAATCCAAGGCACACAATAATTAAATTGTTAACACCAGTAAGAAGGAGAAAATCTAAAAAGAAGGCAGGGAAAAAAAGAAACATTTCATAGAAGAGGAAGAAAAGTTTCTCAAATATTTCTATAAATAACCAAGCTTATAAGAGTGATTCAATGCATATATACTTACGTTTTAAACTTAATAGAAATATGTTCTATGTAAAGTACCATGTATAAAATAAAATGTGCTAAGGCCAGTTAAAGTTTTAATCATTATTTTTAAAGTATTCAGGTAATTCTTGCCAGTCATATGAACAGTAATAACAACAACAATAACAACAAAGACTTGTATAGCACTTAGCATGTGCAGGCACTGCTCCAAGCTCTTTACTCATAATAATCACTCATTTAATTCTCACAACAACCTCATATGAGATAGGTACTATTATCCTCATTTTACAGGTATGGAAACTGAGACATGGATTAAGTAACCTGCCTATGGTAGCGCTGCATGCGGAACCCAGAGATCTGGTTCCTGAATCTGCCTTTTTAACCACTGCAAAATACTGACTCCCAGTGAACAGACTCCTCTATATAGTCCTATTCCTTGGGGGAAATAAAACACTTGGGTGTGAGAGAAACTCCACAAACATCCCGGAGGGAGGACAATACCCTCCATCCCACCTCGCTCCCAAGGTTCTAACCTCTGGAGGGCGCTTTGCAGGAACATGAGACACTTGGCAGGAAGCGGGACGGTGGTGGCGGGAAGTCATTACCTCCAACTGTTTGGAGCCTGTGCTCCTCTCAATCGAACCAGAACACTGATCTATATAAAAAGCATACACCTCTGCAGAGCAGGATACTTTTCTACGTGACCTCCTCTTGTTAGGATCTGCGTCCACACCACCCCCTCAATCTCCTCACATTGTGGTTCCAAATCTTAGCTCGTGTGGTTTTTGCTATAAAAAGTATATGTACTTATGGAAAAAAAATTTCAAAAATTCCAAAAGATATAAACTGAGAAGTATAAGTTTCTTACATAAGAGACTTGTGTAAGTCCTTGCTAACTCAAGAGGTATCTTAAATATCCTTTCAAAAATTGTCTATATAAATGTACACTTGTATGTACACATGCATATGGAAGTTATTTTATTTTCTTACACAACTGGAGCCATATCACACAGTTCTACTACTTTCTTTTTTCTACTACTTTTATTTTTTATTGTATTTATTTAAAACATATCGGGCATCTTTATCAGCACATTCTGACATACCTCATTTGTTAACGGCTACATAGTATGCCTATGTACGACTGTTATCATACTTTAATTAGGACCCTAAGGAACATAATGTTACTGTACTAGCTTGCACTCTCTCTTTCTATATATATATAGTGAAAAAATATATATATACATGTAGATTTCTGATGAGTGAAATGAGAATTAATTGGGTATATTTTGACCAGTGTGTATAGTGACTTAAGTTTCCATTCTAACTATCTCATACAAAATTGCATAGAGCCCTAACTTACCTGTCTAGCCCTCTACTCTTAGAGACATCCTTGCCCTCAGAGATTTTTAGAAATCTCTCCGTATAAACCAAGGGAAGCTTCATGTAACTAAATAAACATATTAAGCTCCCATTTAGGTTTCCTTTAAAAACGCAAATTATACTGTTCATGTGAATAAATTCTAGCCACAGTCCTAGGAACATTATTAAGTCCTTAGAATTCAAATTGAAAAGAAGAATAAACATTACTTTAAAGAGAAGATTTCAACTTGTAAGCGTGGTTTTGATTACACCTTAGAGCCATTTTCCTTTGTGATCACATCTCTGAAATTACACTAGAAGTCAATGATAAAATATTTCAATATTTGAGTTTACACCCAATTTTTCAGAAATATATCAAATAAAATAAACTTAAGCTAAAGAAGGACTTAACCCACTGCAGGTTGAATGGTGTCTGTCATCAGAAGCTCCTATACTTACAAAGTTATTCACTTCTAATCAAAGCAAAAGAAAAAAAATTTTTCTTATAACAGGCTAAAAATGTTTAATAAATAACTTAAGTGCCTTCCAAATACAGATGGGGATTCTATACACAAAGTT